TTAGAATTAAATTGTCTTAAAAACCTGGTTTTTAAACATTAAGTATTAAATCTGGTTTTAAGCTATTAAGCTTAAATAAGCTACTATTCCTTATTTCTGCAACAGTTGTTTAATGAGTAGAGGATCAAAGTACCAATGCCAGTGTGCAAAAAAGAGGAGAGGAGCATGAGATTCAAGCTGATATAAGATATCTTTCAGAATTATTTTAATCAGATGTTTTTATCTTGAATGAACAGCCCCAAGAGAAGGGGCTATGTAAATAAAAAATTATTTGTAGATTATGAAATTTCACAAATGTTGACACCTGAGCTGTACGCAGTCTTCATATGGTAGACAATACTTCCATATGCAGGGAGATTTGATTATGGCTAAGTATGGTTTTGCATCATATTTTAGGTTTGCTTTAGTTCTAGGACACAACTGATGCCAAAGGCAGAATTCCATGCATATTACTTTTGCTGACATTAATGCCCTAGGTGCTCTAAAAGACAGGAAAGTACAAGCCTATTTAATACACACCCAACTTTCTAAAATGCTAGATTTCATTTCATTTCATTTGATAATTGGAGAACTTATAGCCCTTCTTTAAAGTAAACAGTAATTGTAATATGATGATTGCCTCTCCAATCACTTTTTTGGATCTCTGTTTATTTAAATAAACACATGGAAGGTATAATTGCATGATGTTTATAGATATTGACAAAGGGAGTTCATTAAGTTAGAATGGATACATAGGAATCATCTGAATACCTGTATGAGCAATTTTTAAAAGCTTTGATGCTGTTTGGAATGTGCTAGCTCTGGAAATTGTAATGGTATTGTGTGTTTGGCACAGAAGGCATGTGTGTTGAATTTTTTTTTTTTATTTCCCTTCCTCCCTCAAGCAGAGACTTTTCTTTCTTTAATCAAGCTTCAGGAATAAAGAGATAGCCATAGTTACAGGTTAAGAAGAGATGCCCATGGTTAAGGTTAAGAAGAGATAACCATGGCTAAAGGTTAAGAAGCTCTCTCTCTTTATATATGTATGTATGTACGTATAAGCACACACACACACATGCATACATGTACACACATTTATACCCTGATACCAGACTCATATGATTCAAGTCAATTGTTAATATTACAGTCTAATGCCATTTTCCTGGGTGCCTTTTTTTTTTTTAGCAATTTCCATCCATGCTGGTGCTAATAAATATGCAGTCAGTTATTGAAACACATAATCATTTTACTTTGCAATAAAACATAAAGCAAGCAACGGGCTTGGTTTCACTGTTTCCTCTGAAAAGACCTAAAATCCTTAACTCAGTACTCTTTGGACCACTTTGCAAATCTACCACATACAAATGACAGAGCCTGTTTGTATCTATCTTTTGGGATGGCGAGCTGTTACTGATACATCAGATCATTATGGTGCTAAATTGCTATCAGCTTAAGTGAAGATTGTCACACCTATTTGGAAACATTTTTTCATAGTGGTTTTTGGAATGTATAGGCAAGATCCAAGCAGCTTCAAGGAGTGGAATATCTAGATTCACTTCCCATCAGTAAAAACCTATCTTTTGGTACAACCATTTTAGTATTTGCTAGGATGGACAATTTTGTGTTATAAAGAAAAGCACTAGAATTGCCAGAAAAACAAATGTGTGATAAAAATGTAAATAGAATCCGAAGAAACAAACTCTTTTCCTTTCTCTCACTTAAAAGAGAGAAAAAGACATAGAATCTGATTCAGTCAAGAGATGTTTATCGGGAACTCAACTCAGCTTTATAGCCAAAAATTGCAACCAGCTGCCATGACTGAAAAATCTGATCACAAAAATCTTACAAAGTTTACATTGCTTACCATAATCTGTACCCACTTAGATTTGGTAAGTTTCCTAAATCAGCAGATATCATAATTGTTCTTAGTCTTACACAGTGGTCTTTAACCATGCTAATTTCATTTATTTAGATAAAGTTTTGGAAATAGAAAATGTTTCCAATCTTCAAAAAATCACTAGACTCCTTACTTTCTTTTAACTTTCTATTGTCTATTCCTTCTTAGACCATTTAAGCACATTGTACATTATCTTTTGGGGAAGTGTACAATTACCTAGTACAAATGAAACCTGTGCAAAAAATGTATAGATGAAATCCAATACTCTTAGATCAATTGTACAATTAAAATTGCTTTGTGACCAATTTATATATATTTTTACTCCTTGCGACATTAAAAATTAAAATGATTTTTGTTACATTTTAAACATGGCATTTACTTTTTCACCTGCTTGTTGTAGGTAATTTGGCTTCATGGAATTCCACAAGGCTCTCTGATCTCCTTTAACTCAGTTCATTCTCACCTTTCTCTTTACTATTCAGTGTATTTTTGCCTTTTGTATAATAAAGTGTACTATGAGTCAAGCTTGATTTCTGATGACTTCATGGACATATTAATATATTTTTCTTGGCAGAAATATGAAACTGGGTTTACCATTGCAGTCTTTGGGGGTTATTTTAAAATTTCCAATCTACCTTGCACTCTAGATTCTGAGATGGTCTCCCATCCAATAACTTACTGACTTTATTCTTTCCAACCCAATAAAAAGAATTGGAAAGATATTTTATAAAGGATCTTGGGTCCTGTCTGTCCCTCAGTGGGACTACTGTGGAAACAGAATAAAATAGGACTAAATTTGGTATGGTGGAAAAAGCTGGCAAAAGAACGATCTAATCAGAAAATGGGCAGGAGTTGCAAGAAAAAATAATCCCC